TAGTGATATGCGTGATATGCAAATAACGAGAACAAAAGGTGGGCGTATAAAAATGCCACTCGGGCGCGGATCAAATTCAATAGGCTTACTTCGTTGGAATTACATGAGTAGAACAAAGATGCAATTAACAAAAACGTACGTGAACTGATTGATATAAAATTTGCAACAGTATACAAATATATATGAAGGTGGATCGGTACGTCAATTGTCGCTGTCGTTCTTTAGCACATTTCCCCTATCCTTTTGCAAACTCGGTTGTTACTACCATAGAACTCCACCTGTTTGGCGATTGTCTCTTTCGCCCGATACCATCTTTACTAGATGTCCCTCTTTTCCTGAGTGCGGACTCTCGTCTCCCTCTGCCTCCTTATGCTCATCTTGTTTTGATTTACCATGCCTGTGTCTGTGTAAGTGTATGCCTCTGTGACCATGCTTACCATGTCCATGATGTGATCCATCGTCTAGTATGTCAGATGTTGTGGTTGCATCCGACTCCGACACATAAGATTGTGGACCAATATCAGTGGTCGGTACATTTATATTACTCATAATCTAGCGGAAAGCTCTAGTCTGAATAGGGTAACGCTATGGGATGAAATGCAATTACGTGCAGTTTTCTAGCTATTCCAATGAGTTGGATTGTGTGTAAACTTCAGGAAGGCAGGCGAGGTTGATATATAATGGTACAACTCACAATGAAAAGTGAACAGTAGAGGATGTGAACAGTATATCATACATACACACTAAAAGTAAAAAAGTACGGACAATAAATAATGTGCCAAAGAACAATGTGCACACTGTACATTGCACAATGTACAATACTAACAATAGTCAATAGTCAATACCCAATACCCAATACTAAACCAGGGGTGGAGACTGACTTTCAATCTTTGCCAATTGCCACATAGCTTCTATTACTCTTTGTCTTGTAGAGTATATGATATATAATTTAGTGGTATTACTGGTATATGATTGAACAACACAGTCACACACACATCACTAAAAAAGTAAAGATTCCTTAATCTTCATTCTCTCGACTACTCTCTTCAACTCTTGTGGTCCTTGGGCTAACCGCTAATGGGCTTGAAGTTTTGACTTTTGAACCTTGGCTCTCGGCTCTCCTATGGTGACTTTTTCCTCGAAATTTTGCCACAGATTTGAATTATTTTATTCAGAATAACACATTTTTTATGTATAAAAACAAATACAATACGTACTTCATGTAAAATGTGTGTCGGCTCGGGCTGTCGAGTGTCGACTGTCGATTTCGAGTGTATTTTAAATAGACATTGTTGATTAATAAAGGCATGTTTGTGTTTTTAAAAAAATAGATAAATAAATGGATAAATACAACGGTGTTGTCCACACCAGATACAGGTAGCAAAGTGATATTTTTCGTAAGCGGTATAGAGATGAGTGGCAAGTCTCGATTCTCCTCCCCTTGCGACGAGGCGTCGAAGGCTTCCTTGAAGTGCTTGGAGGACAATCACGGAGACAAAACAAAATGTACTGAAGCGTTCGAATTCTACAAGGAGTGCAAGAAACAATGGGTAGGTTACCATCAAGGGAGGGAATGATATGATGCTTTGATACAGATAATTTACTGGGAGTAAAAAGGAGATGTTTTTGTGCTATTCATACCGCACTAGTTAGCCAGGAAGCTATTTTGGAAGACAGAAGCATTCTGAGCATTATGAGTCTTGCGACACACGAGTTCCGGGCAACACATTTGGGTGAACTGAACTATTCCAAACACGTGTGATACGATTGGAGTGAGTGGCATCCTATTTGACTACACACACAAAAAGAGAAACTCATACACTCATACATGTACACGTACACATACACGCATATATATATATGTATATATATATATGTATATATATATATATATATATATGTACATATATAAACACACACACACACACACACACACACACACACACACACACACACACACACACACACACACACA